GGACTTAATTTATGCAGCTTAAATAGAGGGTACACATAAGGGACTACTGGTTTGAATACATGTGCATGCATTTGGTTATTATTTTCATTAAGTCCAGTAATGAGTTTCTTGTCTTTTTCTGTGATTTTCCCCTCTGATAAAGCCAGAAGAACTGCATCCTTAACATTATTCTTCACATCTGTCATTTTCTCTTCAACTGACATTTGGGAATGAGCAAAGTTCTCTCTATCTCCTAAGTTCCTTTGAACACATTCCACAGCTTCCTTATAGTCAAGAATCAAGGTCGATCCTCCTTTGTCAGCTTTGGTGACAAAGATGTTCTCATCTTCTATATTTTTCAAAATCCATCTCTTCCCTCTCCTCTCTGCTGGTGTCAGGTTAGACTTCGGGTCAGCAGGCATGAAGCTGTTTACGAAACCCATCAGTTTTGTTTTTATTTCATCAAAGAGCGGGTTGCTGTACTCAGGATGCCTTCTTGAAGGTATCCTTAAGCCAGGATGTTCGTCTTCGTTGAAACTATTGTTCTCAGTTGGGTTATCATGAAAGAACGCCTTCCATGAAACTTTACGTAAGAACTCTTTGGTGTCATACTGAAGGTCTTCCTTACTTGCCTTTTTACTTTCCACAAAGTTCAAGCCTTTGGCCAGATACAAAAATGCTATATCGGGGACTTCTACATGGGACAGATTTCTCACAACTGTGGACGATATCTCCTTGACTCTCTGTTCCAACCATAACTTTTTCCGGTTCTGCTTGTTTTTCTGGTAGCGTTTGCGCCCGGCCTTCTTCTTTTCGGCAGATGCTTTTCTCCACTTCTTGCGTTTGGAATTTGAAGAAGAACCCGTCTTAGTTGACATAGTAAATGCTTCATTATCTTCTGGCAGTATTGATGGCGCTAAACTAGCTCATATCACACCCCTGATCAAGGGCCAGGGATTAGATAGTGATAATCTCAAGAATTACAGACCAATATCTAACCTTAGTTTTGTAGGCAAGTTGATAGGTAGGCAAGTTGATAGAAAGAGTAGTGCTCAGGCGTCTAAATGAACATCTAGAAAACAACAACCTGAACATCCCACAGCAGTCTGGATACAAATCAAAACACAGCACCGAGACTCTGCTTGTGAGAGTTGTTAACGATCTGCTCATTGCATCTACAGAAAGCAAGGCAACTGTTGTTCTTCTCCTAGATCTCAGCGCAGCTTTTGATACAGTTGACCACTGCAATTCAAACTACTGAACATCCTCAGAAATGAGTTGGGAATAACAGGGACAGCTTGGAAATGGTTCAGCAGCTTCCTCACAGGTAGATGTCAAACGATTAAAGTTGGAAATGAGGAATCTTATGAGATAGTGATTAAGTTTGGAGTCCCACAGGGCTCTGTGCTGGGTCCGGTCCTGTTCAACATCTACATTCGCTCTTTGTACTCAGCAGCACATGATTTGAACTTCTCCATCCAGGGTTACGCCGACGATCATCAGCTGTATAAAAGTTTCAAGCCAAACGAGGAGCCCACCGTCCTTATCAACAATGTTCCCAAATGTTTCCAAGAAATTAATAATAAAACAAAAGTTAATAAAACAAAAGTTAAATTTATTACCAATTATTCAATCAATACATATCATAAATTCTAATATTGGAAACACAATGCAGAATGGATGTCTTAAACTATAATTTGTTGTCACTAATAATCTATTTACTTTCAAAGTTGAAATTTAGTTAAGTATGAAATGCCACCACATCATAGTTAGGGTAAAATATAATTCTTAAAAATTTTAAAATTAAGAAGATTGCTCTATGACTTAAAATTTAAAATTTAGCTAAAGATGTCTAATTTTTAAGTAGTTGGTTACAGTTTATGACAGTACTGGCATGACCAATTTTATTGTGGCTGGTAAAGGGACCCAGTTGCCTGTAAGGGCTTTACCGAACCCCTGGGGACCACAATGTGATAGGATCAGGCCAGATGTTTCTATGTAGAGCAATTTATTTATTTCGGAGCTATGGTTACGTGGTATAGTTGGTGGTCATGTTTAAAGGTCAGTTTATCCTTGTGTGCTAATTATCCATCCAGATGCTTAGTGATGTGAGTAAATCATGCCCTTCTACATTATATAACGTTTAACTATAAATTTGTTTTTACCACAGAAACTGTGGCACTAAGGTCAAGAATTAAAAATTTGTACTCTCATTGATAGTTAAAGCGTTTTTTTTTTCCCCAGCACTACTACACAACAAAAACCTGTCGGCCCACCGAGGAAACACAGTCGCAGAACAAAGAACCCAATTGTGCTCCTCTATTCTGCGATCGTGTGTATTTACTATAAACTAGCTAAATGCAGTTAGTAAAATTTTCTGGAATCATTCAAGTCGTTTGATTAGTTTATGTGTCAAAGTAATGTCCATGATAATCATATTTTTGGATCCCCGGTGGGCAAACACTCGTCCCAAAGGCTAAGGCAAACCTGTCAATGTTTCCCCATACGAAGTAAGGAGAACACATACTCAGCCTACAACTCCACCCATGGGACGAGACGTCGTGAGCCTCAAAATATATAGCATATACCCAGTCAGCAAACACTATACACAACATACATACGATACCAATCAATGTATAATGCCATTACTTCATTTAAAAGAAAATACATCTGCTATCTAATTTAAAAAAAATTGAAGAATAAACCTGAAGAGAGGAGAAGGAGAGAGGGGTTTGGGAGAGGTAGAGTAGGAAAACAACAGGATCCTGTGCCGCAGGATTTTAAAATTTGTTGTATGATGATTCGTTTTGTGTCGTCTCTTAGATTAATATAGGTCTGATACCCTTGTCATGGTTCTTTGCAATAACACCGTGGTTTACTCATGTGATTATGTTTACTAAATCAACCTATTTCAATGATAATTCATTTGCATCAAAGTTGTAACTGCACCAAAGTTGTCGGTCATATTTAGACTGTTGTTCTAACAAAGATTTCTTGAGATTATTCTTGAATATACTGATGGGAGTGGAGAAGTCTATTTCACTTGTTGACTTACGGCAGTGATTCCAAATACTAGTTGATTGATAGATGAATAGTGAGGATGGAGTGGGTGGGATGAAGTAGTTGTCTCGTCTTGGTGACCTGTTGAATAAAGAGAACATTGAGATTGGTGATTGGAACTTATTAATTTTGAACATTTCCAGTAAACAGTGCAATTTATGAAGATTGTGGACAGTCAGGAAGTTATACTCGTTACAGATTGGTTTACTGTGTTCTAGTTCAAAGAAATCTTTGCCTAACATCTGCTTGATAACTTTACCGGTCTTATCCCTAGTGATAGGCCTTACTCTGGCACATGTTTTGAACTTATTGAAGTATGCATCATTATCACCAAAGAGAATTCTTATGCATTTCTTTTGTGTTTTAAATATGGCTTCTAGTTTATTATTTGATACACCTCCCCAAACAGATATTCCATAACATAGGTGTGATTCAAAAAGGGTGTGGTACAGGTCCTTATATAGTTTTTTAGGTACACAGCGTCTAATTCCACATAGTCTACCTATCTCACATTTCAATTTACGGTTTAACGCTCTTAAGTGAGCATCCCAGTTCAGTTTTTGGTCAATAATGACTCCAAGAAACTTAGTTTCCTCCACCTTTTTAATTACTATATTATTTAGTGTCAGTTCTAATTCATTGGTGTTTGAATCTGGTTCATTTCTACAGTTCGGCTTAAAGTGGATATAGCAACATTTCTTTATGTTGATATGCAGCAAGTTACTCTTCATATACTGATGAACAAGTTTAAGAATTTTATTAGCTTTGCAGTAAAGTGTTTTTGTACATTTATCTACAACAAATATGTTGGTGTCATCGGCAAAAAGTATAAACTTACCTAGGTCTGATGCTCTATATATTTCATTGATGTAAATAATGAAAAGCAAGGGACCTAATACTGACCCCTGAGGAACACCAAATATTACAGACAGTTTTTCGGATTCTTCTCCAAGTACTGAAACATATTGCTGTCTATTAGAAAGGTAACTGGCTATCAATTTATTTGCAGTCCCTCGAATTCCATAATCATTCAGTTTTTTAAGCAGTTTATCATGACAGATTGTGTCAAAAGCTTTACTTAAATCAATGAAGATGCCTAGTACGTGATTTTTATCTCTTAAAGATTTTTCAATGTAGTCGACAGAAAAGTTGAGTGCATGGCTTGTCGAGTGATTTTTTCTAAAGCCATATTGATTTTCATATAATAATCCTTGCGACTGAAAGAAACTGTAAAGCCTGGAGAATATGATTTTTTCAAGTATTTTACCGAATATTGCTAAGGTTGAGATAGGCCTGTAATTTTCAAGAAGCTCAGCATTTTCTTTCTTATATATTGGACTTATTTTACCTACTTTTAGGTCGTCTGGAAAAAATCCCTGTTGCATACATTCGTTGTACAATACCGATAGTAGTGGGCTAATTTTGCCTGATACTGCCTTTACTATATGTACTGGTATGTCGCTAGCCTTGCCATTCATAAGTTCCGATATGATCTTAGCCACCTCCTCAGGTGAGCAGTCATGTAGATATATATTAGCTGTATTCGATTTAGGTAAGAAGTCACAGAAACTTGGAAGCTGATTTATTTGTATCTCTCCTAGTTCTGTGTAGGCTGCATTAAGGTTAGATGCTAGGGATACAAAATACTTATTGAATTCATTAGCTATAACTCTGCGATCAGTTATCTTTTCATTGTCTATGGTAAATATAGGTCTGATATCACGTTTCTGTTTGCCACGAATTTTATTTATCAGTTCCCAGGTTTTCTTGGAATTTCCCTGAGTTTCAAGAAACTTGTCAGAATAATATTCAGATACAGCTTTTTTACGAACCTTTTTTAGAGCCTTTCTATATTCTTTGTAGTCATCATAACGGTTTCTTTTATTACAGCAGATAGAACACACGCATGTGCCCCCTTTTGTGTCAGTTTCGCCTTGTTTACACTTAACTTTCCTGACTTGATGAAAAAACATTATCTACAGCTCAATGCAGGAAAACCTGAGATTCTTGTTTTTGGGACACCGCTTGTTCTCCAGCAGCTGTCTATAGGTGGCGTGTTTGTTAACTCTGAGACGTGTGTCAGGCTGTCACCTGTTGCAAAGAACCTCGGATTCCGTCTCGACTCTCAACTAAACTTTGGTGAGCAAATCAAGCAACTTAAAACATCGTGTTTTCTGAAACTAAGAGACCTTGCTAAGATGAAAACATTCCTCACAACCAAACAGATGGGAACACTGACTCAAGCAATTGTAATCTCATCGCTTGACTACTGCAATGCGCTTTACTATGGTTGTAGTCAAGCCTCAATTACGCAGCTGCAGAACATTCAGAACCGAGCATGCCGTCTGGTTTTTGGATTAAAGAAGAGAGACTCAGTCGAGGAGAAGCTCAAATCCCTTCATTGGCTCAAGGTGAAGGAAAGGATTGAGTTTAAGTTATGTTTACTGATTTTCAAAGCAGTCAATGGTGTTGCTCCTGCATATCTGTGTGATCTAGTAACATTTGTTAGTTCCAGTAGCAGAAGAACTTCCTCCTTACACCTACCTGTCGGATCTACAAGATCGCACCCAAGAGCGTTTCAGACTGTTGCTCCGAAAATCTGGAATCAACTACCAATTGAAATTAAGACTTGTTCTGATGTTGATCTGTTCAAAACATTATTAAAAACTCACCTGTTTAAGAAAAGTTATGGCATGAGCGATTAATTGACAATATAACTTTATGTTATTTGCTTAAACTGTTTAGGATGCAACCTAATGTCATGATCTTTTTGAACTTATTAGCAATTAGACTGTTAGCTCGCTTCATAAGCATGTCATCTTCGTTCCAAAAACTTTTTATGTCCTATGCATACACTCCTTGATAGTTATCTTGATCTAGTATCTTTGTTTCACACAATAGAGCATAAGTTTTGTGGTTTATCCACTGGGCTTAGAGTTTGTGTTTAAACTACCAAATTTTATTATTATTATTATTATTCATTGCTTCAACCAAACCTCATCGTTTAATGAATCAACCAAACTTCACATTAAGCCTAGCTGTGCTCTATATATATCAGCTTGAGAAATACTGGCGGTCAACAAGCAAAGCCTCGTCGCTGCCAAATACCTGGGGTGGAATTCGTCTCTAAAGAGCCAGAAAAACCTATATTTCAATCTAATGAATTAATTGTGAGTAGATTCAGTAGAGTATTCTAGGAATGATGGTACTCGAATGAGGGGGATTGAATCTGTAACCTTTCGATTACTAATTGTCCAATCTACCACCGACATGCGAGAAAGAACTTTGTTCATGTAAACAGTTTAGATTTGAATTTGGAGCCACAAGGCGAAGGTTGATATTCAAATTTTTCTCCTAATATTTGAGATAGGGAATGTATTGATTTTTTGAAGGGTTGTTTTTATATAGGGTCAATGTGACAATTATGTGTATATTGTTTGAATAATTTCTACCACCGACAAGCCATTCATAATTTGTGTGACTGGTTCAATGTTATGCTTTTTTTTCCTGAATATCCTGAACTGATTGATAATTACTGAACTGATTGATTATCACTAGCTGACAAACAGTGTAGAGAGTTAAAGATCAAAATTCGTACAATCTTTTGGCTTAAGAGTCTGATATTAAGCATTGTGCTAGAATTGAAGCTCTATTGTGTTCTATATTTTAAGAAAGAAATGATTTCTAATATTTTAAGAAAGAAATGATTTCTAAAAACAGTGTAAATGATTTTTATTCTATATTTTATTGTTCTATTTTTTAAGAAAGAAATGATTTCTAAAAACAGTGTAAATGATTTTTATTTTTGGAATGTTTCGAACGAAGTTTTAGGGAAAATTGAAGGACCCAGTTATTTAAGCAATAAGGAGACACACAATGAATATCTTTGGTTTCATCCTTTTGTGGCAAAGAAACGTTTTTAAATCTTTATTCCACTGGGAAGTTTTAATTAATTATTTATATATAATGCATTAGATTTTATTAATTAATAAAATTGAATTTAATAAATTATTAATGTTGATGGAAGAATATATCTATTTGAATTATTTTTCTATTTAGTGCAATGATATTTTTTAGACACTTGTGATGATGTAATGTCATAATCTTTACTTACTTACTTACTTACTATATTCAATTATCCTATAATATCAGTGCTTTTTTGCATTCTTATTCTGAATTCTGTAGTGTAACTAAAAGCATTCAATTCTCAGGGTTGGTAGAT